CATTGTGAATTACAGTGAACACATACAATACCATCTGAAGATGGCAAGTCATTGTTTTTAATCTGAGAGTATGAATGTTTTCAGTGTTCAGTATTTATGCATTGAGTCAAAGCTGTAGAACTTAAATATCAAAGCATAGGAGGAAATCTCTGATGTTTACATCAAAGTCCACTGAACAGAAAAGTCCCTCTTTGCAACAGCAAATGTCAGTGAAGGTCATGTAGCTTTCACCTTTATTTAGATAAACAAAAGTACTGATGTGTGGAAAAATCCAATGCGAGTTGCATCTGAAACCAAATGTAGAAAGTTTTAAGAAAACGTGTTCTATATATATATCTGATATCTAACAACCATCAAAAGAGGATTTTTCCATCTCGTAAACTGTAGTTTTTTAAAGAAATGTCTGCCTGCACTGATTCAAAACAGAATACATGGAATGCACACACATTGTTTCTTAGGTAGAAGCGTATTCAGCCTATATTGTCACCCTACTGCTATTTTGCTCTTTCCATGAGCTCAGAAATCTTGGATATGACTGTAATGTAATGGGAAGGCATGAGGAAAAATAAGGAAGATGTGGGCAGCTAAGCATCAACTCAAAAGAACAGCTAGGACAACAAGTAGTCGTTATCACTTGAGCATCGCCTCCAAGCTTCCCACTGAAGATCAGTAAGTATGATTTATTAATGTAAGGCCAAAGAGTCATAAACCTAATTCTAACATGAATTAATACCTGCATCCACACTTTAGATTCTAAAAACAAAACCGTACAAAACCTGGTGATCACAAATTTGTGTTACTAAGTAGAAGTCGTCACACAAATTCTGATACTGCCAAGCTCCTCAAAACTAAAACTCTTGGGGAGTAGTAAACCGTCAGGGTGGTCCCCCAACTGTTCCCAATTCAAAAAAAAAAAAAAAAAGCGCATTTTTGTGTCTTACCAGACCCTTGCACAGAACACAAAATGCTGTTGCATGCAGCCCTGCACACGGAAAATAGTCCCTGGCTTAGCACACATTATTCCCAAAGTACATGTAAATCTCCAGCTTTTTAAATCTACATTTCCTTTGATCATTGATTCTCAACAGTTGTAACAACTTACTAAAAGGAAGAGAAGTAGGAAATATCATGGTTTTCAACTGTGTCCTAGAACACAGAATAAATACATAGATATAAAAATATCCCCCCTTCTGTCTGACAGTCTTCAGTCTTGCTGAACAAGTTTAAGATTCTTGCAGATTTAGTCAATGAAAAGCCAAAGCAGCATTCTTAGATTTGCAATCAATAGCCAGAATAAACACAAACATACAGATTTAAAAGCTCTATTATAGCTTTCCTCCATCTTTATTTTCCCCAAAACTCTCATATAATCCCTGTTGTATAAACCATACATACAAAAAAATTATAAAATGACAGAATTTGGCTTAATGTCATTTAGGCAATGCTATCAAGGTTAGTTAATATAAATCTATGATGGTGTTTAGCCAACTAGTTATCCCTTGACTATTCTCCAGCAAACCTGGCTATTTTTCTTCCATTACTCTTTACTTTTTCAAGGGGTAATAAAAGGGAAAATTGCAACATCATAACTTCATTTAAAGGGTAGCATTCATACAAACCAGCTCTCTCTTAGTGAACTGCACAGCCCCAAGTATACAGTCCCACAGGGTGGTGGTCAGGGTGAATGAGCTAATTTACAACAGTAAAGTTACCAGATTTAGACTTACTTCATATTCCTAGACTAATACCTTTGTTTTGCTTCACTACTTTAACATGATCCAACATAAAATTAATTAGGTGAATGATGCCTGAACTAGTGTATTTATATTCCAAAAAGCCTGAAGATGGAATAGAAACAAGTCAAAGTTAATTGATAAGAGATTTCTTATTATAGCTACTCATGAGAAGTCACAGAACAGAGTACTCTCAAGTGACTTATCTTGCCAACCAGCGTTTCTTCAAAATGAGCCTTCGGCATGGAATAATGACCCCAACTGAGTGATAACAGTCAAATGTAAAAAGTAATAAGCCTTATAAACATACAAAACAATTTGATACTTATTTAGTTTAAAAAAACAAACTACTTTGATTTTGTATTAAAACAGTTCTGCTGAAAAAGCTCTTCCAATTTTTAAAGAGTAGTGTCTGAAAATTGCCTAGTTACCTGAAGGACAAGGTAAGCAAGACATTAAGTATCCACCATAGAGTCTCAAGTGTACTTTTTTTCTTTGCTCTCTCCCCAGATTTATTAAAACCAGTAACTTGAATCCATTTATGCTGTGTGAAACCAGAACAGTAGACCATGTTTAGAATGTATTCCCTTTCTCTCTTGATGTCTCAGATGGACAGAACAGCAAAGCCTGGACTTTAGATGCAACCTAATCACTTAGTGGCACACGGGTATTTCATGAATAGCTACAGCAAATTAGGACTTCACTAACACTGCAATTTTATTGAGGAACTTGTATAACATACCACCAGTATACAATGTGTAAGCCACTAATGTGAAAAAGCTGATCTTCTGCAACAGAAAGACTGTTAGGAAACAAAACTTCAGCTGTCAGCAATGGAAAGTAGTACATCCTAAAACATTTTTATATTGAACTTCTCAAAATTTAAGGCAAATTTCTCACTTTAAGGAAATAAATGAGAGAAGCAATAAGCAGTGAAACTACTGAAAAGTAGCAGTTAAAAAGGGTGCAGTATAGCTAAACAGATAAAAACGTTGCTTAAAAGACAAGTTTTAATCACACATGGGCAAACTGAAACACACAAAAATGACAGCACTTTTAAACTGTGAAAAGCAAAGGTGTATCTTTCAGTAACTGCATGTCAAAACAAAGTAAAAATGAAAAACCCAATTCAAATCTGTACAATATTGAAGCAGCAGAAATGCTTAAGGAGCAATATGATAAGACTATTAAAATCTCTTCAAATTGATCAAAAGCAGGCAGTCTGCAAAAGAATTTGCAAGCCCAAGAAGTAAATATGAAAGGAGCCTTTGAGAATTTGAAGGCTACGTCACAAAAGCCAAATGAATGATTTGTCTGTGATAGCAATTACTTTCCCAAAGTTTTTAAAAACTAGGGATGAATGAACAAGGCCCTGTCTGAAACATTATAGAATGAATTTATGAATAAGTACTAAGTCATTAGGATTTAATGTGACTTTTTATCATTAACTACACAGCATGAAGCTGAAAAGTAGTAATGTCTCAAAAACTAAACAAGTCTCTGAAGGAGTCAGCACCTAAGCACAGAGCACGACTCAAAGGGACACTGTCTTCAAAAAGTCTTCAGATAGGTCCTCCAAGGGCATAGCTACCATGAAAAAGAAGGGACCTTTAGTGTACTCTTGGGCCATTAATTCAGAAAGGAGAGGAACAAAGTCTTCATAAGTGAAAAGATAAAGCTGCTTTCAGCATCAATCAATGAGAAAAAAATAGAATACTCAAAGCTAACCATGGCTGCAGACTCCAAAAGACCTTGATTTTGTCAAGATCCTCATGGACAGAGCAGCAGATGGCATTTAACACTATTTAATGCGTGACTAACGAATCTGGGAAGGAAAACTCCAGCCCTAATTCTGAGATAGCTTCTACTCCCTTCAGAAAGTTCTGGAAGTATAGACAGCTCACCAAAAACATCACAAGCTGTCGAATATAAACAAGATTACTTGTTAAGGATAACAGGAGATAACATCTAGAAATCTATGCTGAATACCATCAACTAGTATTGAACCTAAGAGAAGATTTAGAAAACTAACGGAGTGCAGCATGGATCAGATATGAAACCACACTCATGGCAAAACTGAATAGACTAAAATTTAATCCTTGAGCACGACTGCAGAAGACAGAGGAAATGGTTCATTGTTCCTCATAACAGGAACTAGACAGTTGTCAGACAGGTTTAATATAAAGGAGAAAGTATTTTTGTATACCCTTCAAATATAGTTTCATCTTTTAATAAAACACAAGCCCAGAGGAAAATAAACATTTAGGTAAGCTTAGCAGGCTAGAAATATGATAGATCACCAAATACTTACCCCATTTAAGGTATGTTTAAGCAAAGACAACAACCAGAAACACTTCCTGGCTAGATGGGGATTAAATCTGACCAAGTATTTACAAGTTTGGTCCCAAATCCACACTAACTCACTTTCCTGTGTAGACAGTGGGGTGTGCTTCACAGTTACTTCTGTTGTTTATATTCTTGCTTGTACCTTCTAAAGAAGCATTTGCTAGTTAATAGGATGTGCATAAATCACTTCATGTTAAGACCTACAATTGAGGGATAAGGTTTTTACTTAGACATAAGCAACATGCAGACTTTCAATTGCTCTTCAAGGATCTTTACAGTGGTTGTTTGTTACATGGAATATTGCAACCTTTTCATTCTCATTTATTTGAAATAGACAGGTAATGGGATTCTTGCTGATGATGTAACAGCACTTGTTCTTAATCATTTGAGACAATCTTTTGACTAGTTGGAGAACATGCAAATGGCACATGCAGCCCAGTGAAATAACTTCGAAGTTGGCCAGTTGATCTCCAAGTGCTTTTTCACTCTAAAATATTTCAGAAATTCTGAATGTCTGGTCATGGTTAAGATGACAAATCCATTGAAAATAGCCCTCTTGAGTTAAAGATTAACCTTATCAAAGTTGCACATGGCAAGAGAATGTTTCTGCGTGACAACACAAAAGGGTTCACATCCATGAAACAAAACATTCGCACAGGAAGTAGCTAAACAAGAAACATTCAGAACACACAAACTTCTGGTAACAGTCTCATATTTTATTTCAATTAATCCACACAGACATAGAAATAAATTGAAACAGTTTTTGTTAAATTATTTCAACAAATGGTGAGGTTCTTGTTTAAACATGATCATTGAAGATATGTAGTTTTAGCCATTGCTTGTCTCAATTCCACTTTTGAGACAATATATTACAGGTGACAGCTGGAGTCATCTAGCATGAATTCACAAATCAGCCACTCATAAAAATCAAAAAAGCCAATGTTTAATATCAGTCCAAATCCCTTGCACATGCTGGTTTCCTCCCTGTAAAAGAAGTTTTATGTAATTTGCAGTCAGTGTCACACACCAAGAGGTAACTGGCCTAAGGTTGAGCTATATGAACATGCTACATGACACTAACCCTTAAGTCAGAGCTATTTCTCAATACAAATGTCTTCATTTGTACAGGATTTTCCTTTCCCATACAGTTGTCATGGATTCCATTCCAGAGGACTGGCCAGATTAGAATAAATGGATCTAATAACCATCATAAACTTTCCTCAGATTTTCTTTTCTATATAAAGTTCTGATTACCACACGTTTCCACTAGTCCAAACTAATGTGGTTTTGTTTGTTGGTTTTCAGGTAAGGAATAAATTAAGCTTTAGACATAGAAGGCAACCCATCCACTAACATTTGATAATCCTTTTTAAACCACATACCTGGAAGCCAACCAGTTTACAAGGAATTCTTCTCACTCAAGACGTTTATCGTTTATCACATAAAGCACCAATACATTCAAGAAACCTGAAAAAGTCAGATTTATATGAAATTGATACTAAGACTCAGGTAACTTCATAATCAGATGACAGTTCAAAACCTACCTACAAGCTATTAATACAGTTGAGTTAGTAGCTTCCTGAAATTCAGTAGTTTCATGAACGTGTTCCTCTCAGGATGATCCAAAGAAGAGTTTCAACCTCACCTCTGGGTTTGAGAGAGAACTTTTATACCCCTCTGTGTTGGCCACTTAAGACACAGCCAGACTTAAGAGGGCAAAGCATAAAAGGGGAATAGATGATAGTACTGGTTTTTTTCTTATTAACTAAGATGATCTGAACTTGCCATTTACTCAAAAGATATTACAATTTGCTTGAAATTTACGAATTCTCAAAAAACAACAACTAAAACTATCTGCAATTGTCATTAGACTAGAGCACTTACCTTCTGACAGAAGGTATTATTCATTCCTAATAAGTCCTGAGCATTACTTCTAATTTAGGTGTGATCATCCATATCTAGAAAATTTCAAACAAAGTTGCTAAGTAGGACCTCTAAACAGCACCAAAAAAAAAAAAATTTGTCTAATTACAGACCTTCTTAAAGCCATATCCTGCAGAGTTAGTGTTATGTGGAATTAGACCCTCCTAAAGTTCATACTCTACAAAGCTGTAGAAGTCATTTACATAAAGATCATTATCACATCAAGACCTAGAGCAAAAGGTAGTCAATGGTTCAATGTGTTTAAAAGATTTGGTTTTAATTAGCTCATTTAAACTAGGTAGAACATCTTTTTCAACATCTTTTAAAATATATGACTAATCAGAAACAATTTAAGTTTATTAAGCCTAAATTGCTTTCAAGTGTTGACACCACCCTGAAGTAGCCTACAAATTTCTAGATGTAACAAACCAATATTTACCAGCCAATACATCACTACTTTGTGCCTATTTACATATACCTTGTAACAAAGTATACAGAGCTCAACCAAGAAATCGAAAGTCAATGTTAACAGACTTACTAGAAGACTGGGCCAAGAGCCTATGCAACCAGCAACTTTCCTTTATTTGAAAAGTTAAGATCAGTTGAACTTAAGTGCCTACAGCATGCAGTACCCTAAACGCTGCAGGTTATAACTGTAATTTTCTTGATGCAGCCTATAAAAAAAGAAACCACCACACTGAATCAGATTTGAGTTCAGTGCAGCTCAATACCTGTAATTTGGAAAAGAACATAAGGGTACAAATGTACACAAATACTTCTTTGCCACACGGGGATACAGACCAGTACCCTCAGATACACGTTCGTCTTTAAGTGGTACCAAGTCTCAGGATTCAAAGCCCTGGGTTTCTGAAGCCCCAAGCCTTACCTAACCAGCCCCGGGATGTGAGGTGCGCGATGAGGTCTCTGTGCCCCCTTACCTAGGGGCGTTCAAAGGCACGGCTCGGGCTCCCCAGCGCTCCCACGGGCAAGGCCGCCTCTGCTTTGCCTCCCGCCCGCGCCGGCAGCAGCCGGACAAACGCCTCCGGGAGCATTGGAAGGCCTTGCCAGTCCCGAGGGGCCCTTTCGGCCGCCGCCGGGGGTGCCTGGGCCGCGCACTGTGGAAGGAGAGAGAGAAATCAGCGCGGAGCAGCGAGGGGTGGGGGGTCGGGGAAGGAAGGGGCGGCTTGTGCCTCACGACAGGCTGCAGCGCGGAGAGGGCGGCTCCGCGCTGGGTTTCTGTGAGGGAAAGGCGCTCTATCCCCCTGTGTTGACTCCCCGGAGCACCGCCAGGCTCCGAGAGGGCAAGATGTGAAGGGAAGACCCCGAGTAGGTCCCATCCACCCCACCCCACCCCCCACCATGGGCTCCGTGCGGGAGCGGCGGCCGCCGCCGCCGCCTTACCGCAGCGACAGGCAACGGCGAGAGAGAGAGAGGGGCGTGCGGCGCCTCCCGCGGCCTTAAATACCGCCCCGCCGCTCCCGCGAGACCCCGCGCGGCGCCGCGGGAAGGGCGCCGCTGCTTATTGGCAGAGCGGGCGCTCGTGACCCCGCGAAAATGGGGGAGGGGGAAGAACAGCTGCGAGCCTAAGCCCTGAGGGGAGGGGCCGCCGCGGGGCTGCCGCCCGGGGACGGAGGGGCGGCCGTTCTGTCTCCGTGAGGAAGCGCCCCGGTTGCTCAGCCGCTCTCCCTGTCAGGGGCGGACCCGCGGCCCGGTTCATGACGGGGCTTTCGTCTTCCGTGGGACGTAATTGCCGGCCTCCGCCCCGGCCGAGCTCTAGGGGCCCGGAGAAACAAAAGAGTCTTGGGCGTGAAGGAGCAGCTGTGTAGCGGTTTTGAGGAGCTAAGAACTGCTGATCTCTCTTTAAACTCCCATCTAAGCGCTACTTTAGGAGGCTTAGGATCTGCCTGTAAGGATAGTGAAGTAAGCCTCAAGCCTGAGCTTAATACCCTGGCTGACGTTCCAGAGCACGCCTGGGCTGCTGCTCGCAGGGCGGCAGAGTGGAACCAGGCCTGTCATCCTGCCAGCTACCGCACAGCATGGATGCAAAACACGGCTGATGTTCTACCTCAGCTGAGATGACCTGCCTGGCTGGGGTTACCACTAAGAAGTTTTAGGGTGAGTACAAGCAGATTAGAATAAACTGGGAATTAGTAGTTTATAGCACCGAGACTTTGAATGTTGCCCAGCAAAGCTAGTAGGTAGGAACCACAACATCTTTGTGCCCATGGAGTTCTGAATTCAACGAAAGTCCCTGCTTCACAAAGAGGTGGATATATTGCTGATAATTCACAGCTTCCTGTCTCAGTGAGCAACAGTGTGTCTGTCTTGGCTCACACTGAGTTGCTACTGGCACAGCACCTGTAAGTGTGTGGAAAGAAAGTAACAGGTTGGCCCGCAATCCCTGAGAGTTTACTGAACCCTGCACTTAAATCACCCTCAGCAGACCTAAACCGACCTGATTCCGCCTGAAACAAAGTCACATAGTTGCAATCAAGGGACCGGGCTAGAAATTGTTTCTTGTTACTTCTAGTTATCTCTTCTGTCTAATTCTTGATACTTGCTTAAAACATTGTTGCAGATGTAATCTCCGCCAGTAAATTTATTGTGACTGCATCAGGATTCAGAAGCTGTCTCGGGGCTCTAGGTAAGTCACTCTCTGCATACGAATTTGTGAGGCATGTAGCTTCAGGTTATTTCAAGTGAGGTCTCTGCAACAACCATTTTCTACAGTTAGATGCATAGGTCAGATCAGTCCTTCCTTGTAACATAGCCAAAAAGATGAAGTGGCATCCCAACGTTTACATTTTTACCACCTTCGCCAAGCACCTCATCAACCATGCCAGTAGATGTTGTTAGGTCTGTTTACATCAGGGCACTTCCACTTTAGGTAGTCATGAAGAAGAATATCTGAAGGCCTACATTTTGAAGTCAGCTAAGTGGCAGCTGTGTGCCTTGGCTATTTTGTGGATTCAGTGCTGAGCTTTTTAAGGATTCTCTGGTGATCTGAATCAAGTGTTCAAATCTTGGAGAGTGCTGCTCTAATCAGTCAAGTCTCTCTTTGTGGGACGCGTGCATTTAATCTCAAACTCACTGATCTGATACCTCTCTGCTGAAAGACTTTTGAAAAACATTTATTTAAAAACATCATGTTGGGTTCACCACAGTGCGCAATTGCCATTAATGTTTCATTTCAATTTCACTGGCTTTCTCCACACTGGTATGAAGGAAAACCGGGCAAGTAAAATCTTAATGTGACCATCAGTCTTTGCAGATAGATGACAGTATCTATCTGCATTAAATAATTGGCAGGTTTGGGACTTTACAATGTGGCAGCTTTTTTTTTTTTTTTTTTTTTTTTTCGTTTTTTTTTTTACTTAAAACTTTGATACACTAGTGTCATAAAAAATGTAATTGAATTAATTTATGCCACAACTTACATAAAATGAAAAGGCTATTTTAAATTCATGCTGAAATTAGACTAAATGCCATTTACAGTATGTCTGATGTCAAAATATCCTTTGTGTTTTGTCCTCAGAGTGTATGTTAGTCAAAATTAGAGCCTGTAGAGCAGAACAAAAATAATAAATAAAATCTTTGGAGAAGAAGCAGAGGGCAAGCCAGATAGTTCTGTTAGAAATTTAAGTTTTCTGTTATTTTTGCTCAGTGAATCTCTTCTTGTTTGATAAATTACTTCCATGGCTAAAAATTTTGCCTCATTCTAGCCAATATGTATCATTAGGACTTAAATATTATCTTTCCAACTGAAAGCATATTTTGTATTGGTAAGAAAAATGGCAGTAAAGTTTGCTAGTGAACTTCCATGCTTAATAAAATACCAGATAAGGAAGCCATTCTTCAAGGTTCTACCTTACAGAAATGTGCGAATATTTTCAGCTGAGTAGTGAGTGTCAGGGAAGATTAATATTATGTAAAGTGATGAAGCAATATATAGAAGTTCTACTGTTCTCATTGTTCATAGCTCCTAATACCATTTTTTTGAAAACACAATTAAGCAGAAGGAAAAAGGCAAGAGTAAGATATTATGAGATAATGACACTTCTAGGCCATTATTGAACATCAAAATGACTGTAAAGGCCTAAACAGCCTCTTCATAGAATACACTGTTTAACAGTTATCACTATAGTACCATTAGCCCATTTTATCTATTCAATCAGCGTTTGGTATATTTGACATCAAAGTGTTTGCTGTCTTTTCTGCTGTCTTTGGGCTTTCAAATCCAATGTCTGGCCAAAAAAAAAAAAAAAAAAAACAAAAAAAACAAAAAAAAAAAAAAAAAAAAAACCAACCAAACAAACAAACCTCTCAAATGCTGTAAATGTATTTTCCTTTCTTCTGTAAGCCAGCTATTTCTGAGAAAAAGAAAGAGATAGTATTCCATCTCTGCCAACTAGTATAACGTTTGCATTAAGAAAGATAGTCAAGATTCAGAGATTAATTTAATACAAAGGTTTGTTTTCTCTGCTTCATATTTGATAGGTGACAGTATAACTTGTTAGGATTCTAAAGATTTTTTTTTTCATATTTTAAATCAAGAGAAATAATTTCTCATATAATCTGAAAATGTTGCGTAAGGATTGCTTTGGTGCTGACAGTCTTTGCTTTGATGTTGACAGTCAGAATAGTGATTCCAAAGTTGTGGTTCATTGGTTTTCAGGTTTTGTTTAGACCAAGAAGCCCCCAGGAGACTCCCCACATTTTCTGTGGATTGCCATGAATTTTTCATGGACTACAACTCATTTTTTACCATTAGAATTTCAGATGCAAATAGAGTGGCTTCTGTGGACCTGCTATGAGCTGTGCACTACAGCCTCAGTCCATGGACTGCAGGTTGCCATTTGGAATTGTCCCAAAGCTCTCAATCCACTCTGCAGTGGGGGCCAAGGTGCAGGGAAAATCCTTAGTCCTCATGCTTGTATCTACATGTTTGACATTCTGTTAAATTCATCTTCATATTTTTTTATAGAACATAATTTAATGTAAGATACAAAATGTATTAAAAAAAAAAAAAAGTTTGTAAAATGCTAAACATACATTGTCAACACTGAAAGTATTTCAGAAATCTGAATTCTCTTTTAATTCTTACTGTATATTCTCTCACCTTCCAGAAAACCGGAGTATTGTTCTAACTGCCTTTTCCATTAAAATGCCCTTTTAATTGCCTGGAAATGTACCCTAAATTTGATTCTGTTCCAAACACTTGTTCAGCAAAACTGACTGATGATTAGCCATTTCTGGACCAGAGTTTATTACAAGAAAAACATAAATGAACCCTCTGTGGAATTTTCCAAGATTTCTAGAGAGGAAATGCAATATCCTCTTTGTAGCACAGAGTGAGCAGATATTCTGCTCCCACCTTGCTACTAACTTTCCTGTGTAACTTTGGACAAGTTGCTACATTTCTCCTGCCTGTTTTCTTGCTTTATAAAAGAAGCTAATATTAACTTGCAACCCAATAATTTGACAAGTCTGAGTGAATGTTTGCAGAGTACTCTGAGAACATCAGATGGAAAATGTTATGAAAGTCCAAGCCTCTGCTAGCCAAAGAGGATATTTACAATAGGGTCTTATTTTATGTAGTGAAATAAAAATGTTCAAGCGTATAACCAGATGAGACCAAGACTGATCTAAAATTAAATGCAGGAGGCATTTTTTGACCTTTCAACAGAAATTATATAAGCACTCTTAGGTTATAAATAGTCCTTTGTTTTCCTTCTCTTTGTCTAACACTCAGAAGAAACACAGGGTTGGTTGTTTGCTATGAAGAGATAGGGCAATGCTTTAGAGTGGAAACAATTGTTCACTGTTCTTGATTTATACAGTTTCTATAATTTTTGTCACTAGCATTTGTTCCTTTTCTTAGCACTTTTTTTTTTTTTTTTTAATCTTCAAAGAGCTAAAGAAATAAACTTTCTAGTCCTGAAAATGACAACACCAGAAGAAAATCAAAACACTCATTAGTCCATTTCAAGTACGAAAGTTTCTTTCCTCTTTCCTCATTTGATATGTGGCTGAAGAGCAAAAAAACTCAGTGCTAAACTGGCACATAAACACTTGTATATTATTTCCTATCTTTATTATGAATCCTCAGAAATACAACATGAAATGTGTCTGCCCTTAAATGAAAGCATTTTTATCAGTGTTAAGGATAATGATACTGAATTCTTCACAGAATGGTGTGTGTGTATATACGTATGTATGTGCATATTTGCAAACATACTTATTTTCCACAGTAGTAAATTTTTAACAGTGCTTAAATTGAATATGTACTTGCTTAACTAATAGTAATTTAATTTTGTGTTTAAAAGAAAAAAAAAAAAGTTTAACAAGCGCAAATAACCTGAAACCTTACCCTGAAGTCAAGTAATTGACATCAGTGAGAAAGCAAAAGTTAGAAAATACCACTTACCTTTTTCTTACTCGTTTTCCTACTGTGTATGATTTCTCTAAGGTTTGCATTATGAGAATAATGTCCTTGATGTTAAAATATATATGAGATAAATGACTTCATTAGTTACCACATTTTGTTTCATGTAAATTTTTAATCACCTTTCAAACCCATCCATTTCCTTCATAACTTTTCACTGAGAGCAAGCACAATTCTCTACAGTAAATTGGAACAAACAGTCTGCAGCAAAGAGTACACAATTAAGCTTCTGGAATAAAAGGGATCTGAGTTTAAAAACCAGGCACAGTGCAGTGCTGTCAGTCTCTGTAGGCTACTTAGAACTGCACTGGAGTCCAATCAGGCCTTGCCTGCTTCAGAGCTGAGGCTGGGGGTGGCCACTCTCAAAATGACACCTCAACTTAACTCCCATTTCCCATGGTTATGTTGAGAAACCCCATGATATTACATATAATCCAGCCCTCTGAGTTTAAGCAAATTAAACACTTGGGATCAAATTCACACATAATGTAAGACCATGAACTTAATAGAATTATACCAAAGATACTTTTTTTTTTTTTTTTTTTTTTTTTTTTTCTCAGTGTTACCTTGTTTGATGGCTCTTTTAACACACTGATTTGTGGATTTTTTTTTTCAGCAACCCTAACAACTTCACTCCATAAATGTCCAAAAAGCTTTCTCCATCCTGTATTTCAAATGTCTGCCATGATTTAGCATAACTGATACAACTTACTGAGGAAAAAAAGTTCTGTCTCTGTGGCAACTCCATTTCCAGTTGTCTTTGCTGAAACTGTCAACAGGATGCCAACTGACACCAAATTTGATATTGTTTTTATAAAGTGGGCACTTATCCACCATGAACTGGATTGAGGCCACTTACCTAACAGCATTCTCAGGGTAGGAATTTATCTTTAGGTGCTACTGCTGATGCCAGATTTGTATTAATAATCACAGACTGTCCCTTGAAATAAATAAATAAATAAATAAAATTACTGACTTCAGAATGTTTCCTGTAAATAAAGCCTGTGGGGCCAGGCTCTATAGCCTGAAACTAGTCTATTCTAGCACCATGAAGTAAAAAGTGTAGCCAAGCCTGAGTGTGTCATACTGCCAGGTATGTTGGGAGCGGAGGCGCCCGTAGAAACGCTAGCAGTTCTCTCTCTTCATTTGAATGATTTCCTCAGCGTAGCAGAGGAACAGTGAATGGCCCTCAAGCTTCTGCTGAGATGAGCAACATATACTAAGGAAAAGGGGTATTCTAAGATGAGGCATTGCCCTAGCTGAATGCCATTCTTGCTTCTCTCAGAGATTTATTGTGTGGCCTCAAGTTAGCTATTTAACAACCTTGTGCCTATTATCACCTGTGTAAATTTAATACACTCATACTACTCTACCCTGGAGAAAGCCGTGGACCTTGACTTGCTTGTTTTAAGAGGAACTGAGGTTATTGCATTAACGGTGTTGTATAAATGCCACGAGTTGTAAGCTTGTGTGTGAGCACTGTGACACTAAGATGCGTGGTACGGACATGGTCCCAAAACAGCATTTGCGAAGATGGATGTTGCCTGCATGAATGGCGATGCAAAACACCTACTGTGGGCAGTAAATGACATTCCAGCCCACTGTTCCGGGGTTTGCAAGTGCCTTGGCTCCCGTGTGCCTCAAATTAGGTGGAGAGAGCATGTCCCAAGGTAACGGAGCTGCCGTCACTGCCGCGCACCCGTGTCTCTCTCTGCCCGGACCCTGCTTTCCCGTCCTTCACCCTACTGCCTGCCCCTGCGATTCCGGGCTCCCTGAAACCCGAGTTGCGCAGCCCCGGGGCCATTCCAGCCCCGCCGACGAAGGCACCTCGGCTCCCTTGGGCGCGCCGCGGCCGGGGCAGCCCCCCCGCCCCGCTCCTTCCCCGCCGCGCCCCGGCTGCCCCGGGCCGGCCGCTGCCCCCGACCTCCCCTTCCCCGCCGCGGTCCGAGCGGATCAGCGGGCGCGGCGCTGCGATGGAGCGGCGAGCGGCAACGGCGGCCGCCAGGAGAGGAGGAGGAGGAGGAGGAAGAGGAGGAGGAGGAGGAAGGGAGAGCTTAGCGCTGTGCCGGCTGGCGCAGAGGCGCGGCTGAGCGCTCCAGCGGGAGCCCGGGGCCCAGCGCACCGTGCGAGAGCCCGGGGCGGAAGGAGCGGAGATGCGGCTGCTCTCCCCGCGCCGCTAAAGCTCCCGGTCGCTCGCCCGGAGGAGGGAGGGCGGGAGGGTCCGTCCTTCTCGCAGCTCTGCGGGCTCGAAGGGTGCCGGTGCAGTCCCCTCTTGCTTTTATTCCAGCCCCGGAGCAGAAGCCGCCGTCGCCGCCGCCCCCTCCTCTCCCTTCCTGCGCCCTTCCCACCATGAGCGGGGCCGTTTTCACCTTATAAAGATGGCGGTGTGGGATCGCTGCAACCTTTAGACTAATGACTGTCAGAAACATCGCCTCCATCTGTAATATGGTGAGTGCTCGCAGGCAGGCGCGCCGGCGGGGGGCGAGGGCGGCCCAGCAGCCCCCCTCCCGGGGGCCGGCCCTGCTGGGGCCGGCGAAGGGGCGGCTGGGGCTCCCCCGAGGGGCGCCAGCCAAAGGCAGAGACCGCATCCCTGCCCCCGGCGGCGGGGGAGCCGGGCAGGCTGCGCCGGGACGTGCCTGGGGTGGAGTTGGCCGGAGGAGAGTGGCGATGTCCCGAGGAGTTTTCCCGGAGCGGGCCGGGGAGGGACGGAGATGCTGAGCCGATACGCGTCGCGGACGGAGCCGCAGCCCGCCCTTCCTCCTCCTGCCCTAATAATCCTGCGAAAGGCCCCCAAAGTTGGGTTCTGCATCCACGTTAAGTCAGTGACCCCATTTAACCCCCTCGGGCCGGCAGCCCGTGGTCGCATGGGGCCAGAGCTCCCCAGGTTACACAGAAAACGAAGGTGTTTAGATGCCTGATAATACGCTTTTGGTTTCCGATGCTAGGTACCTGTTCTAGGAAGTCCTGACTTTAGAGATAACATCGGAGTTTAGCTTGCACTGCATGCCACTTGGAGAGGACTGCTGTTCGTTAAGTACTCTTGAATCACTTAGCTCTCTCTAAATCAGACCAGGCAATTAGGAAATAAGGAAGCAATAAGGAAACATTAATATTTTTGTTTGTTATGTTCAGACTCTGCCACTTGCCTCCCCAGGAACACTTGAAAGGGCACTTTCTGCATTGTGCTTGGATCTAATTTTAATCCCAACAAATTTGGAGCATCTGACTGGCCTTAGATTTTTGAAACTTCTTGGTGGGGGAAGGGAGAGCCCAAATTTTGTCTGTCCAAGATTTTTTAATACAGTGAGGCAGTAATAAACTTGCCAAAGAAACGGGTGTGTGCTAGGCACCCCAATGCAAACAGAAGAGAAGCCTGTTTCTGCACATTTTGTTGTTTTAGTCTGTATTTTTCCCACTTATTTCCAGGTTCTTCAAGAGCAGCTACACGCAGTTGCCAGCTTCCCTCCATGTGGTGCTCCAGCATGCCTTGTGCTGGTGCTGCCACACATACCGTTCATCTGCCCTGGAGAACGGAGCCTACCTCTAGGGTAAGGCAACAGGCACAGCCCCAGAGGCCTGGCTCCTGCGGGGTCAGCAGCAGTGGTTTGGGGGAGGGAGAGTGGATTGTGAGCCTGCCTCCCTTCCACGTGTCCACGCTTCCACTCAAGTGGGCTTGCTCTTTCGTTTCCAACCAGATGCCCAGGGCATCCCACCCATAGTTCTGACGAGCCTCAGTCCTCCTTTTGAAACGTCTGCTCTGAAATGCAGAGAGGAAGGGTTGGATTTGAGGTTAAAAATACTTAATGCAAAATCCAGACTTGGGGTAAAATAATCTGGGTGCTCACACTTTTTACCAACAGAAAGTAGTTTTCTAAACTTTTAATTGTTCTTTATAATTTCCAGTACAGTGAGCCAGGGATATTGCAAAGAAAGGTTTAGGAAACAGTACAGGACGGAGAGGAAAACTTGGGTGCACTTACCTTCCTTCTGAGACAGGCTCCGTTTTTTTATTGCTGATGAATGGTGGGTGTGATGCCCTGCAGACTGCATAAGACAGCACCACATGAAGGGGAGCTGGAGACTCTCAGGTGGTTGTAAGACTTTTTCATTGACATAAAGTACTAGGAACTCCATGATTTTCGTGTGCTTCAGACAGATGCACTTGTATGCAGTACGCTTCTCCCAAAGACTGAACAGATTCACAGTAAAATTGTTGAGCTTGTTCTAATGGTGTGCTGCTCAGCTGTGGCTGCCAGTATATCCTGTAAAAGTGGCATCCAAGAAAGGGAGAGATTGAGGGAAGAATTAGAGCCTCAGGCAGAAAAGGCATACAAGGGCTCATAGTTCAAGGTAATTCTAGCTCACGGTACCAGTACTGTGACAGAAGGGGAAGTTGGTTTAACGATAATGATGTTTTAAAGCTATATATTCCTTGGGGTCTCTGTACTTAACTTTTAGAGATGTTGCGTTGTGTTGGTCACAATTAGTCTTTTCTGGATAACCCACAGGGACTGGAAGTTCTTTTAGGAAAAAAGGCTGACGTTTTCAGAAAGCTGCAGGAATTTGGGGCTGTAAGAGAAACATAAATTCTTGGAAGTATTGACAATACCGCATTATGGCTCCTCCAAAATGTGTCTGCCTAGATGAGGTGGTGATCTTGAATGTAATGGTCTGTAGGAGGAGCTATGACAACCCTCCATTAGAATGCGACTGTGTAAGGTTAGAGGTATATAAGAAGACCTTTCACCTGTACAAAACCTGAATACTTGCAGTGTTGACTTGATTTAGGGCATCTATAGAAATCTGCAAGACAAAGACATTAATTTCCAGACCTTGTTCCTGCACTATAATGTAGTGCTTGAAGAGCTGAACTACTTGCAATCTGTAGACTGAGAAATAGCTACATAATTCTTAGGAAATAAAATATATTTTGGTATATAATGCTACATAATTGTATGTTTCTAAGTTTTTTTAACCTGGTTGAGCACAGTAATGAAGCGAAAAAAAAAAAAAAAAAAGTTCTGTTCTTCTTTATCTTTTTCCATTCCTGTTCTTCTTGAGAGTGTTCACAGAGATTATTTTTTTTTTTCCTTACCTTCTGCAAAAAAATTGGATCATGCCTGGTTGATTGTTGTTTTCTGTTGGTTGGTTGGGTTTTTTTGGGGAGGGAGCAGGGGGAGAGAGACAGAGGGAGGAATTGGCCGTGAAATACTTGTCTTTCTCTGAACGAAACACAGATTATGTTTTCAATGGTAGTCATTTCTTGACAAAGTTTTGTTTGTTTGTTTGTTTGTTTGTCCAAGTACTTTCATGTCCTGAAGGGGAAACCAGATAAAATTTAGCTGAATTAATTTAACTCAAGGGAATCTAGCTAGTTGGCATTTTAGGATGTATGTTTGCTATTTAATTGACTGCCTGAAGTCTAGTATGTCAGGTTGTAATTTTGGTCTCCTGAAGATGGTAGAGAATCAGTCTTTTCCAGGAAGGATCAAAGCAAGTGTAGTGAAGCAAGGAAGCCAGGGACAGTATTTAACTTGCTTGCAAAAGAGATCTAGTACTGTGTATTCACTGGATAAATTCTCACATGCTGAGGCAGACACAGCAGGAGCTAACCAGTAAGAAAAAGTGTTAGGTGCAAACTTTCCACTTGGTACATTTATATGTAGAAAATATTCAAATGCATGACTTTCTAGAATTAAACAGAATTCCTGTATTGTCCTTTGCCAGTTGTGTCCCCCTAGCTGTAATAACAATAGTACTAATTATTATTTGCTGATTTGGTTAATGAGACCAAAGAGCTAAAACTTGTTCTGTTAGGGTGGAGGGGATGAAGGCAACTGGGCCTAAAGGAATCGGTGGGACTCTTATGTGGGTGCAGTGGCCACCCTCACTGAAAAAGGGAATTCCAGTCCCCAAGATGTTCCTCTTACCTGTCTTTCAGATACTGGGAAAGTTCATCCACTCTATCTGCACACCAGGTTCGCCACAGAATGAGTTATACAATAGGCAATCATCAGCTTTTATGTAGGACAGGTACAGTAGATGTGAAGAAGTATAAGATACACTGAAGAAACTCTGTCTGAGGGAAAACCAAAACCCGGTGCCATGTAACACTTGTACACTGTAGACACAAAGCAGGGATGTGCTCTTAGCCCCTAGGATTCCGTAGTCCTCATGTACTGTTTCTGTGAGATAACCTGATGACTTAACTACAAAATGCTGGTTCAAAGGTAGATATGTATGCTGGCGTTTTAAGATTGTTGCTTACTGAAATTCTCTGCAGCATGTTTCTCTGTTGATGAGCTTTTGGTACTTCTCTGAGTTCTGAGTTAAGCTCATGCTGCAGCTGTGACCTAGGGGTATTACTGTTATGTGCAGTGAAGGACATCTAACCATCTCAGAATGTACTGACACGTATTTTTACAAAGATGGCTAACAAGCTCTGTGGACCATATTTCTCCTAAATACTTTTTACTATTCTGATGAGAAGAGGTATTAATCTCCTTTTCATAGTTTTATAATAGTATTTCAATTAATCTGATCTGCACTTCAGAGTGCTCTGTCAATTTAATAAATGGGACATTCTGAACACATTCAGATTGCTTCTAACACAAGGTATCATCTGAGATACCTCACAGTTGCTCCTGGTAGTTGTTGTATAGATATCCTTTGGAAAAAAGGTTGAAGTTCCTCAGAGTAATTTTAGTTTTTATTAATTGAGCTTTCATGTTGCCCATTCTTCTCATAGTCTCTATGAGTTTCATAACAATTGGTGTTTTTCTTCAGGAATATGTTCACACAATTCACCAAGAATTATGTGAATACTTGTGAATGTCAGCTTTCATTAAAAAAAAAAAAAATAAAAAAAAATTTAACCATCCTAGACACTAGTTGTAGAGAAAAACATAAAAACATGCAAGTCTCTACATTCAGTAAGCAAATAAGAATAACTGTTGGATTGTTTGTTTGTTTTTAATGTAATGACTTTAGAGACTCATTGCAGTATTTGTTTGAATATAGGGCATCGCCAGAATGAGAACTCAAGCTACAAACAAGATCTGGAAAATGCTTGATTTAAAAAAAAATAAATTACAGTTGTAGTCCTGTAAAAATAGTCAAATTCTACTTCGTACAATAAGAGTGCTATTGGATTACAGAACTGATCACTATGACTTTCAAATGGATTTATTCATTTGGACAACCTACAGCGCATATATCTTCATGACTTTTAAAATTTCTCCTATAACAGAGATTAAGGCAGGATAATACATGTCAAAACAGTAAAACAGCTATCTGAAGGCATATTTAGATTGATAAAGGAAAATAGATTTTTACATCTGAAAAAATTAGTTACAGGCAGTTCAAGCAGTGCAATTTTAGAAGCGTAGTCTCCAGAGTGCACAATTTCAGTATGACATATATAAAAAATACAGAAACAAAAATATGAAAAATATAGAGAATGTGAAGTCTAATTATTGTAATACCTTTCTGAAGTAATGAGAAACTTGAGAGTATGGCTGACAAATGGGCACTGGACTGACAAGCAGAAAGTGTGCGTTCCATTAGAAAATAAACAGAAGTCCACAAAAGATATTTTTTATTGAACAGAGGAGGATGTGCAAAGTGAGAATTATACATTGGAAATTTATGTATTACGATAACCTGGATTAATGACTGAGACTTGTCTTGCATGAGTACCTTTTTTATGGTTAAAGTTGTTATCATTCACTTACTAGTTGTTTAGAAGACAAACACAACAAGACAATTCATGAATACAATGTGTGATTTACAGTGTGTTTCTTTTAGATGTATACAGGTTTTGGCTTCAAGTTGATGAATTAAGAGCAAAGCAGTGGTTATGCCAAATACGTTAATAAAGGAACCTCTTAATTACAGCTCAGCAAGGCTGAGTGAGTCTGAATTGTGGAAGAGATGAAATTAAAAGCAGACTCTGGACCCTGATTTGATTAACTGTGTGTGGTGGGGAAGCGCCATGCAGGAGGTGAAGTCCTGGTGGGTTTGAAGAGCCACAGTATGTGGTGTGTAAATCACGGCCAGTCAGAGAGGTAGTCAGCAAAGTCTCTTCTGCTGATCTTCCTTTAGACTCAATAAACTGTCCTTGTCCGGCTGCTTGGTAGATACACTTATATACATTTGTGTACTCCTGACACCACAGTATATCAGTGCTTCTGGGGAATAAATGAACTTGCACCTCCACCATCAGGGCTCCATTATAAGCATGTTCTTTGGTATGATCAGCCGTTGCAGAGAAGGCTGCTCTGCTGATGGTTTCAAGCCAGCCATTACTGGATAGTGTGTGTTGTGGTTATTAATTTGATTTCACAGTTAATGACCTAATAATATTTGCATCTAAACTGACCTAGAACAATAAAATCTCCAACTGTCCACTGGAATTACATTTGATACACCTGTGTCATTTCTGATGTGTGTCTGTCAAACTTGAAGATTTCCAGTGATGGTGACTATGTCATCTCTCTAGGCAGTCTATCCCAATGCTTCAATGTCCTTATGACTAGAATGTTTCCTA